CGGGCTCCCGCAGGGAGGAGGGCCAGGGGGCGCCGCCCAGCCGGGGGCCTCCAGCAGCTTTCTCAGCCCCTGCATCCGCGGTCCGGCAGCCTGCTGGCCCGGTCCTGCCTGCCGGTGCGGGCGCAGCGCGATCCGGACCAGCCTGAGAGCCGGCGCGTGGCTGGGTCCCTGGGGCAGCCCCTGAGCCGCGGGCGCTGCTCACTGATCCAGACGGGCCCTGCCCGAGACCCACAGGTGGGATCGTGCAGCTTCAGGGGCCAGAGCTGGCCCGCGGGCCATGTGTCTGACGCCTCTGTCTTAGATACGCTGCGACAAAGCCTTTCTAGCAGGCCCTAGTCAAAGTGTCCAGCTATGTGAGTTGGCCTAATACAAGAGATCAGATTTACCCAAAGAACTTTGTCTGCCTCTGTCCTGAGACCAACACGGCTACAGCCTACACCCCTGTACCCTAGCAATGCTGCTTGTCAACCCAGCTGATTATGCCGGTGTCTTCAGAGCGAGCGCAGCTGCGTTAAGTTCTTCAGAAGGAAGTCGGCCTGGTTTCCATTCAAACGGGTTTAGCAACATGGAACTGGCTCATAACAATTGCTTGTGGTGAGTTAGGTCGTATGGACCAGACCTCAGGAGGTCGCTTGGTCCAGCCCCCTGCTCAAGGCAGGAACATCCCCCACTAAACCACGCCTGCCCAGTGTCTGACCAGCTCTTGAAACTTGGCTTGACACTTACAAAGCTCTGCTGTTTACTGGCTTGGGAGGAAAATATCTGCTGCCAGAGGGAGGAAGGAGGTTTTGTTTGTTTCTCTTTTATTTATTTTTTTAAGGAAGTTTCAAAAGCACCTCTTGCTTTTCTGAGAGGTGAGTCGGAGTTGGGTGCTCTGTGGCTAGTAAAGTCCTGTGTTCTAATACACGGGCCGGTTCTACGGTAGGCCGGTGCTACCGGGATTTAGCAAAACTTAGTATTTTGTGTTAACAAAGTTAATTTCATGCCTCACTGTTTAAACACTGTAAAACCAAAGGCATAGAAATGGAGTATGCTACTCAAAAGTAGGTTGACTGACTCAGTTTTACTAGCTGGGGCGAGAACCAAAATGATTCATGTGGTAGCTGTCTGCAAAGGACAGGGTAAGAGCTTGTGTTCCCTCTTCCTTTTATGAAACATAAGGCTTGAAAAGATTTTGCCTCTGCTATAGGCTTATCTGTGCTACAGATATTCACGAGGATCTGTTTGGTCTGCACAGAATATCTCGCTGCGCTTGGGTGTGTGGAGGCAGCTGGTTTGCTTGTATTCCAAGAGCCTGTTGGTATGGCATTAGCATCTAGATGAGATCAGCTTTGTTATACCAGGCATTGTAAAAACCCAAGATAAAACATAATCTAAATGGCAAGATAGACAAAGTGTGTAGGGAGAGAGGCATGAATATAGTGACTTACACCAGGTGGTGTGGAAGGTCAGCAGCTAATTTGGAAATGCAACCTAGCTCTCCTGGCTCCAAGTCCAGTGCCCAGTCACTGCCCCACTCTTTCTCCCACATGCTGAGTGTATTCTTGTGTTGACCATAGTTCAGGTAGGCCTCCTGCTACCATCCCACAGACCTCTTGTAGCATCTGGGATCGGGCATTGCTGCAGAAATGGCTTAGAGCAGTGGAAAGTAGGCAAAACTGCTGGTTTTGCACACAAGTCAGCCTTGCAGCTTCATAGCTGGGCTATTGAAGGGAAGAGGTTTTAGGGAAATCTTTTTGTCAGTCTTGACCTCCCTCATTGTCAGTGCCTAATGAACATTTTTGGGGGAAGAGGGAGGGTGACTTCTTTGAGTACTCTGCCCCTCATGTTAAGTGTAATGCATACAGGTCCCTAGCTGTCTCCAGCAAAATCCTGGAATTGCCAACTCACCGTTTCTAATGTTTTTAATATAATGTGTGTGTGGTGTTGACAGTGGCTTTTAGAGCTATACATATTTTTGCTTTGTTCTGTACTGCTTGTGATCTTAATTTAAAAACATGCTGATAGTGTCTGCATGCAGTGCTTAGGGAGTAGCTTTTTTGGGAGGTGTACATGTTGCTGCAGAAGGGAGTGTGGTAGTGGGAGGCATGCGATGGATTCTGCACTGGCTCCTTGAAACAGTCATGAAAGAATGAATTGTACTTAAGTGAACTGTGCCTTTTTCCCTTTAGGCTCCTGCCAGGAAGAGGATGACAGCTGCAGTGATTATGGGAGTCATGACAAACTAGGCACCATTTTAGGAAGGTTTGTGCCAAATGGGAATGTGCTTTTCCCAGACACCTTCGAAACAAATCACCTTTTGTTTTATGAGAGATTTAAAGCATATCAAGATTACATCTTGGGTGAGTGACATTTTTGCTATTGAGATTCCTTGTCACAGTCTCTGTAGTGACTGGCTTTTCCAGGTGATTCAGTTCATATCCATAGATAATATAGCCTTCTTTTTAATAACTTAGTTCTCCAGAGCATGCCGAGTAGAGAGGATCTGGTTTAGTATTGGGGTGAAGGAAAGATCAGTTGATGAGCAAGTTGAGCTGTAAATGGGTCCTAGGCTTTTAATGGCCTCCCATGAAAAATACTATGCCATAATTAAGATTTTGGGCTGGAGAACTAGAAAACTAATGATCTTATGTTACAAGAGAGTGAAACCTGAACAGTTGAAAATAAGATCATTTTAATAAGACTAGTTAAAACAGTATAGTTTTTTCAGCACCTATTTAACACCACCAGCCTACTTGAAGGATGGAGGCTGTGTTGTGAAAGAATTGGTGCTCTTCTCTTCTCAGTTGAGGTATGAGACAGCATCCTTTTCAGGTCTTCAGTCTTTCAGAGAAACAAAAAGCAATCAGCTCTCACGTCTCCAGAGAGAGAACATGAATTAGCGTCAGCAGAATGAAGTTGAAGGCAGCTTTGGACATCCATAGAGGAGCATTAAAACTTATCATGCTCAGTTTCATTTTTTACTTGTCCTTTTTGTGGATAAATACCCAATTTAAGTGTTGCTAACTTCCTTGTAGCTGACTGCAAGGCCTCTGAGGTAAAAGAATTCACAGCTGAGTACTTGGAGAAGGTCCTTGAACCATCTGGATGGCAAGCAATCTGGCGCACTAATGTGTTTGATGTGCTGGTTGAGGTAAACGTAATTCAGTTTTTCAGACATTTGTCTTCCATTAACATGGCTTTACCTCACTGTTAACTGGCAAATCACTTATTTTTAGTTGAAGTTTGAGCTGATAGAAAACAGCATATTTGTCATGTCTGATTGTCACTGGAGAGTGGAATGCTAGGGGTGTCTTTCAGAGAGAACTAAACTATTTAACTGCTTGCAATGGCTTGAGCACCAGGGTGCCCTGGATGTGAGACAGCAGAATGTCGACCTCTGGTGTGTAGAGGCAGAATCCAGACATTCATATGCGATGCAGCTAATTGTTAGCTCTTTAAGTGTGAATGCATTTTGAGTAGATTGTAAATTCTCTGAGACCAGGAGTGTGTATGTGTGTGTGTGTGTATTCTTTGTCTAATAAAGTGCAGGACCAACCTTTTAGACAGGCATACCACAAGCTAAGCCCTGCCACTCCAATCCCTTTTCCCTGCCCCAATGGTGCTCGGGTTTTTTAATCCTTGTCATTTCAGCCCCTGTTCTCCCTGCTCCCACCCTGATTTGCCATGTGTCACATACATGCTGCTTGTGCTACTTGTGGCATGTGTACTGCAGGTGGGCCAACCCTGGCCTAATACAATGGGCCCTACTTGGATTGCTAAAACATAGTAAATAACTTCTCGTATGATTGGGCAGCAAAAGAGGTACTTTTATGTTGCATATATGACTAGTATTCAGGTAACGCGTGGCATGGTAGTTGGTGTAGCCCTTGTATTCTACTGGCTGAGCCTGTCCTTAAGCAGTTTGCATATCAGTCACACCCGTCACCTTGCTCTGTTCATTAGCTGAGCAAAAGCTGTTCAACCAACAAAAGCACAGACGCAAGTAGATTTTTTTCCTCCCGGATAATTCCGTTGTCCTCTGTCGTACCCCAGAAGGTAAGGTGCCATAGACTGCATCTGTCTGCTTTGGGATGAAATTATCAGCTTCTCACTTGTCAGTTGGGGCCTTCTGGATGTTTGAACCATTGAGGAATGCAGAGTGAGTGGTGGAAAAATGGATCCATAAAGTTCTTTGCCTTTATAATCCCTTCTTTTCACCTCCGTTTAACTTCTCACAACTGCACACATGCACATCTAGGCTGCTGTCTGTAGGAGGGGTGCCCAGTTTTGCTGGGCTTCCTGAGGTCTGTCTTGTCCCTGGAGCACTCCCTCAAAAAAGGATGCCCCGTACCCCTCTAGCTTCAGGCACTTGCATGTACTCTACATCTTCTAATAAAAAGTAGAAGCATGTGAGAAGATTGCTGGGTTTGTGTAGACCGAGACAAAAGGTTTGTGTGTTCCCAGCGGAGATCTTCATTTAAATTATTTGACTCTACTAAACAAAGAGAGAAAGTAAAGGTGCTTTAGAACTACTTTTCCCACATTGCAAAGCTGTGCCGTAAGTGGGACTAATAATGGGGTTAGTATGCAGGAGCTGGGTTTTTATTCCTGGCTTGCCATTGACTTATTGTGTGAGATGCTGCAAATCTCTGGAGGGTGCTTTGAAAGATGGGGCCCCAACTCCTGGGAGCTGCCAGGTATTCAGCTGCTATGGGTGCGGCTTGGTTTGGGGTTGTCACTTCAAATCCTGACCTTTTAAAACACCTTTGCGGTGTTTGGAAACACACATGCTTACAGAGCTGCTAATTACTTTATGCAGTAAGGTTTGTTGTACTGTGTGTTGGCTTAGAAATGGTATTTAAAGGTTTGTCTTTAGGAATTGGCTTATAGGTATATGTATATGCATTAGAATGATTTAGGATGGGCAGCAGAGGCTAATTGATTTCTAAAAAGTTTGGGTCTCACATGCACAGTTTCACACAGCCTTTGAAGCAGCCAGGTTGTCTAACCTAACAAGACCAACAGATATACGCAGCCTGTGAAACCGAGGGCATGTACCATACTGTTCCATAACATGAGATAAGGGCGGCACCAGCTAACACGGCCCCAGAGTGGGGGGGCCTGAGTTCTCGTTTTTGGGGAACAGACCAAATTAGGAGAAGGCCTGGAAAGACCAAATTAGTATGTGTGCATGTGATGAGCTTACATGGACGTATGACAGCCACACAGAGACCAACCAGCGATAGCCACGGATGAAGTCATCAAGAGTCATCATCAGGAGGGAAGGAGAATACAAAAGCAGACTTGAGAGTAACAAAGGGCCCCTCCTCCCCGTCCTCCGCCCAGATCCTCCTCCGCCTCCCCGTCCCTCCTTGTTCTCCTCCCCGAAAGGGGTCCCCGTCCCCTGGGAAAGGTTCCTGTGGACACCATGGACAGAGGGCACACCACCAGCCCATCTTATCCACCCGCTGGAGTGGGGTATGGGCATTCGGCATACTACCTCTAGGATGCTGAAATACTGATACCTAAGAGAGAGAGCCTCAGAGTGAAGACTACATCCTGGCCAGATGTACTTTGACTCTGATGACAGCCCTAGGGTTTGGTAGCTACACAGAATTGCTTGATTGTTCGTATTGTTTCTTTTCTGTTATCACTGCGTATCAATAAATTTGCCTATTATCGAATGGAAAGGTCGTGGTCTACCTGAGCCTGCCCCCCCAGAACAAGGCCTCTGGGTCCTAAATCCAGAGCCAACACTACATGCTCTTTAGCCTCTTTAATTGCATGAGCTTTTTTAGCTAAAGCGCTCCTCAAAGCTGTTTCCCACATCAGGTGGAAGATGTGGAGTACTCGGCTCTGAAAGCGGTGGTGCGACTTGGGAAGCCTTTCCTGTGTGAATCCTCCACTAGCACCTTTACCCTGGAGTGTATGCAGGAGCTCTTGAAGCTGAAAGAATATCGGGTACCGTTGCTGGAGCTGTGGATGGTGTATGACGAATCAGGGGAGTTTGATCAGACAGCGCTGGCTATTGAACATGTTAGGTAGGAGTGTGTGTCTCCTAAACTGCTCTATTACTTTTATTTTAAAGGGAAGAGAGAGTTTATAGCAGTTTTACTGTAGGACAGATGTGAAGCCTACTATATACAAGCCCCATGTATGTGTATAAACTTACATGTGCTGTTAGTGTCTGAGATTATATTGCCTAGTTTTGTGACCAAGGCTTCAGAAGGAAATCTAGTGCTTGCTAGCCTTGGAGCTAAATGGGTTGTCTAAGTGGAAGATGCTTGCATTTCCATGCCCTTGCACACGTGCTAGATTTCATTGTAGCTCACTTCCAACTTTCCACTAAAGTTAAAGAGCCAGTTCTGTTCCTTGCTTTTACTGGACCATTTTGTCCTCTTGGCTTTACAGCAGTCCTTCTTTCTTCCCACTATTCACCATGATGTTTCCTTCCCGTCATTCTTTCCCGTGTCTTTGCTCCTTCCTCTCTTCCTTCACCTCACACTTCCTTCCACACATTGTGAGCTCAGTCTCCTCCCCTATGCTTATTATTTTTCCCATAGTTTTTTCTGTTCCCACACTACTTATTTTCTACCTTTCCTCTTAACCTGTGCCTTGTATCTCTTTCATGCACTACAAAGAGTTTGAAAAAAGCCCCAGATGCTACCTGATAGGGCTGGACCTGAGGACATAATACAGACCATGCCCAGCAAGAAGCATATGCCATCTAAGACAGCTGTCAGGTGAAGAGGTTGCTTGGGTTCTTATCTAGATGCTCTCTTTTAGATCCTGCTTTTCTAGTTCCTGGCTAGTAGGTGTCTAACCTTGAAGCCCTAAGGGAGGTGTACTTGAAAGGTGAGCGTGATTAACCTTTTTGTACAATGTGAGAGGAAGTCAGTGGAGGGACCTGAAATGGAGACACATGGGGCCACATTTTTAAAAATGCCTCCATAACTTACAAGCGCAAGTCCCATTTCAAAATGGCTTGGTTATTTAGCATAGGTTTCACTGAAAGTCAGTGGAAGCCAGTTGTGAATGTGGATTTAAGAGTGTATCCTGTATACACTTCCCTTTGCTTTCTTTCAAAAGGTTTTTCTACCAGTACATCTGGAGGAGCTGGGATGAGGAAGATGACGACGATTTTGATTATTTTGTCAGATGTGTTGAACCTCGATTGAGACTGTAAGTGTGACTTGGTTTAACTTCTTACGTAAAGGCAAGGGAAGGGGAAGCAGGGGTAATGAAATTCAGACAAAACGGTGCTCAAATCAAAGCAAGCCTATTTCAGCTTCAGAAACAGAAATCTGAAATCTTGTGCTTCAGACTGAGGTATAGAGAGAGCCTGGTGTGGTGGTGGGGAGGGGGTTATGTTAACCACTGGAGGGTGGGGGAGAGGAGTCTTATCGGCTGGGGTTGCCCTCACTTGAGTGGCAGGTGCTGCTGCTGTGGCATCATGGACTTGGGCGGTGGCTACCGAGGTTCAGGCAGCAGTGGGGAGTGGGCTCCCCGGTACCCTCTTTGTTCCCTCCATCCCTGGGGCAGGGCTGTGTCTCCAGTAGAAAAGCTTCTCAGGGGAAAGTGTGTAAGGGGGGCATCATTCCAACTGCCCTCGAGGCATTGGTTTGCACGGCTCTTATGGCTGAGCTGCATCTGCTGTGGCAGACTTCTGGGAGGAAGGGACCACACTGGCACCCCCTCTAAGTGGGTGTCCAGGGCTGCTAACTTGCTTGTCATGCCCTAGTTATGGTACTGGCTTTAGGAATAGAAATCCAGAGACATTGCACAACTACGTTGCCTAATTTCTCAGTCTTTTTTCATGCCTTTAACCTGCCATTAGATGGTGCTCCAGATCCAGGCATAGCCTGTTTCAGATGTAAGCCTTGTTTGACTTTTAACTCTGAAATGTGATCCTAATTAAGACTGGTGTGTTGCGCTCAGATACCTCTGGGCATAGAATAAGAACCCAAATGGTGCAGAATCTAGAGGAAAACTTGAAGAACGGGTGATGCTGGAGGAGGAATGTGTATTTCTTTCCCTGGGGGGATTACTTTACATTAGGTTTTCTGAAGGTGGGTTTTTAATACCACGCAGCCATATGGAACTTAAGCAGTATGCAAGGGCACAATCTGGTTATATTTTTGAGGGTGCAAAATCACTGAAGTGCATCTTAAAATGTATCCAAATGAATCATTGAAAAGTGGCTTTCCCCCAAGGTCTGATGATGCATCATTTATTGCTTTTCAAGCAAGGTCTCCTCTTAGTCTTTCTTCTGCATATTATAATTTAGAGTTTAAATTTAGGAGTGCATGTTGCATGCAAATTCAGTTTGCCAGGATGAGGCCAAAGTGCTGTTTTCCCTCCCCCGATAGTAATAGGCAAAACTTGGTGTGTGTATATAGATCAGTATAGTTATCTACACTTTACATCTAGGAAACGGAGGCACAGGGAGAGTGATTGGCTTAAGGGTTCCCAGGAGGTCAGTGCCAGAGCCAAGTCTCCCAGGCCAGTGTTCTTTCCATGAAGTTGCACTGCCTCCCTTTCAAACGGGTTGCATGATGCCTGTTTGGTGTCACATTATAGCTGGGTCATGCTCTGGTTATGCAAACGGAAGGGAAAGGTTACATGTGCAAATGACACACATTTCTCATACATTTTTGCCTTTTCTATATTACCAGCAGATGGGGAAGCAGAAGGGAAAGTGCTGTTAATTTTTGGCTTGGAGGGACTTTGCACAGATGAAATTAAAATGTAATCGCATGCAAACAGACCTTTTTTTAAAGGTAGCTAATGGTCTCAGATGGGAGTAGAAACAACGTTAAAGAGAATTCAGGAGGGAACTGTAATGTGCTTCAGCTTTGTTTTGCAATGAAAAGTAAATATTTTCCTCATTCCCCCCACCATGCTTGTAGCAAAGCCTGTACTCCAAGCCATGCTGATGTTTATATGCTCTTCTGCTTTGATATCAGCCTTAATGTGTCAATGGAGAAGTTAATAGTTAATCCCCTTATGTATTTAGACATGTGATGCTTCACATTGATTCAGAAGGTCTCCAGTGAGCACAGATTAGTCAAAAGAGAAAATTCTTATGCTCCAAGTTTTAGCTTTAATCCCACTTGTTCTAAATGTCTTTCTGGTCTTTTAAGACAAGAAAAGTTATGTAAAGTATTTTGGCAAAGCTTGATAAAATCACTTAGTTCTATGCATTTTCAGACTGGCTAGCTCTAAAATTGATAGTACATATTTTAGGGCCAATTTAGGTAGTTTTAAAGGTTTCTTTCCGGTATTTTGTCTTTATATATTTTATTAAAAACATTAATTCTCTGTGGCTCTTAATCAAATCTGATGAAAATTTCCCTTGTTTCTATATCTAAGCAATTGTCACGCATTTGTTTTTTAGCTGTGGTTTGTTTTTGTTTTCTGAACAGTCTAATAAAATCAAGCAGACATTGCTCACTCCTACTCTGTGTGTGTAATTTCTGAGAGTGTCCTTCAGTGACTCTCTGACTGAATGAAAATCAACCCAAGGAATTGTGTGGGTGCTTCCCTGAGACTTCCTGAGTGACTCAGTATGGAGAGATGTAGGTTGGGTTTGCTTACCTCTCTCCTTCAAGTGTACAAAGACAGAGGTGTCTACTCTGGTTATTCGATTGTCTCTTGAGTAAATGTGAGAGTGATGATCACTCAAGGCTTCCCACCACACTATGTTCTAGCTGGCAGGTGTCACTCTGTCTGGCTTTAAGGGAGCAACTTTAGAAGTGAGAGATGCTTCCTGGTCTATAATCTCTTTCATTCTTTTGGGTCATAGTACATAACATCCTGTCACTCAGGCCTACATGTTGTCTTTCTCACTTACCCCAATGCGTGTTTGACCTTTGTTGGTCAAGGTTTTGCTTTTACTATTTGACAAAAAACGTAGCATGTTCTTGTTTCTGCTGCTGCAGCCAACTTCTTGTCTTTTCTGTGGGTCCCAATCTAGTCCATTTCAAACAAAAGGAAGTCAACGTAGTAATAGGAAATACACGTGTCCCTAAAGCCTGCTGATAGTTCTTGTGATTTTATAGGTGCATTCTCATCTTGACTAAACATGTTGCCTTCTCTCCTTTGTCGCTTATTTCTCTTATTCCTAGCTTTGGTTTTTAACAATGTGGAAGGAAGAGGGGGGCAACAAATATTAAATGTGATATATGTGTTATAGCAGAGACAAAGTTGATATTATGTTATATTATATTATAGTATCGGACCAACTGCATGTTTGGGATAAAGCTAGGTGAGCTTTTGAAAGCAAAATATTTTTTGTCATGTGATTGTTAGTGATGTTCCTAAAAATCACTATCATCAGTGCAGGCAGCTTAGAATCTCTGACTCGAGTCCTGACCCAAAGCCCATCTACGTCAATAAAAATATTTCCAGTGATCGTGCTGTGGAAATCAGAGAAACTTTAACTCTCCTGTGCTTTGAACTGCAGATATTATGACATCCTTGAACATCGTGTCCCTTCTGGGCTTGTTGCTGATTATCACAACCTGTTGTCTCAATGCGAAGAGCTCTACAAGAAGTTCCTAAACCTGAGGAATAGTATATCTAGCAGTGATTCTGACTCAGAGGCAGAAAATGTCTCCATGGTGGAAGGGCTAAAACTGTACAGTGAGGTGGAACATCTGAAGCAAAAGCTAAAACTCATTGAGAATCCTCTGCTGAGGTAGTGTGTGTGTGTGTGTGTGTGTGTGGCTTGCTTTTCTCCCCTTCCCTCCCCTCCCCTCCCCTTCCCTCCCCTCCCCCTCCCATCTCAAGAAAGACATGATGGATGGCTTTATTGTTTTTTCAGGTACGTGTTTGGGTATGAAAAGCACACTGGCCTCCAAGCCAAGGGCATACGTCCAACAGGTACCAAGATCACTCACGTGGTGTCCTCTACCATGATGTCAAGTCTGTTGCACTCCCTGCTCAGGGACAAGCTTTACCCTGAGCCCCCTGATGAAGAACTAGAAATACAGGTAAAATAGCAGGAGTTCCCCTTTATCTTTGAAACATGTTCTCTGTCTTTATCTATCAATTAACCTATTTGTCTACGATGTTCCCTTCTGTATGTACAAGGACTTCCATGGAGGGGACTTAATTTTGGCCATGAACAATAGATACCACTATACTATAAGCAGTCAATAGTAAGGTTGGAAGGCACGGTGAATTTGTTCGATTATCATTTGTTTGTTAAATTCTCTTTTACAAGCTGTTTTCTCTCTGAGAAAGGAATAGTAAACTGCTCTGCATTGTTACCCTGTAATATTGTAAATAAAACTGAGGAAGGCATGCTACTTTATGTTGAATTTCAAGGTACCTGAGCACATTTTATTTAAACGCATTACTTTTTACTTGATCAGGTTCTGGTTCTCTTTACATTTCAGTTGTCCGTCTCTTAATTCACTGGCAGTTGTGATTTACTGCTTTGCTTCATTAGTGGTCTGGATTCTGTTCTGTGTGTAACTGGAATTGTTTACTTGCTTTAGTCACACATCATGAGTTATAGCTGGGTGAATCACAACAGCTATTTGGGTGCCCAGATGTTAGTGTGTCTAAATATGGCTTTAGGAATATAACTTACTGGTGATATAAGGAAAAAAACTTTGATTGATTGTCAGATTGTTAGTGGGTTTTCTGGGCTGATACTTGGAAAACTATCTTAACACACACTCACACAATTGTGTGATCAATTTAGAAAGTGCTGAGATGAAGTTGACCTGTACTAATCCTTTTCAGCCATTCTTCAGAGTAGAATCCCACTGTCACAGCTGATGCTAGCCTGCCCATACTGGAGGCTTTGAACACATGGCATGTGGCAGGGTGGGTCCTGCACTGCTATGGCACTGTTGGGGCATGTCCCCACAAGCATGCACATGCAGTTTGTGGTCCTGCAAACCTGCCTGCGGCTCTGCAGAGCACACGTGTAAAACATACAGGCATTTGCAATGCTGCTAATTGGCAGCACCGTGGGTTTTTTGACACTGGAAGATCCCAGTGTCAAAAAAAAAATGCACCAAAAAAAAATAGGGGTGGTGCATGTGGCAGCAGAGTACGCCTCCTGAAACTGGAGCCTGCCTGGCCAGAGCCATGCTCCAGTTGCTGGCCAGGCTCTCTGTGCCTGGATTGCTGCTGCTGCAGCCCCAGGAGGGCCCTAGGATCCCAGGTAAAGCTGCTGGGACCATCCCAGATGCTGACCTCAGCCTCCACTACCCCACCTGGAGCAATTTGTGCATCAGAGTGTGCGTGCAGGGGCGTGCCTAGGAACAACTAGAAGTGGCACAAGTATATGCCGCTGCTTGTTGTCCCTGGGGAAATGCATGGTCCTGGGAGCTCTTGGGGATGCACCCTCCGAGTCCTGTTTTGGAGGCACCAGGTCCAGGAGTGAGAGGGCGTCTGCATGTCTAGTTTCTTCTCTGCCATATATGCTCTTTCTACTTCAGGCAAGTTGCTTAAGGTACAGACAGACAGGCTTTCCTGCATGCCTGTAGACTTTTTCAAATCTGATATTCTTCACTTCCTTCCCTATCTGCACATGGGGTTGGTACAAACCTCACAGGGCTGTTTTGAGGCTAACTTGCTGTTCATAAAGCTCATTGTTACGCTTCAATGCAAAGCACTGTTTGAACACAAAGGAGTGACTGTATACTGTAGGTGCCGTTGAATGGGTTTCCTCTAGGCAGTGGCTAGAGTGTTTTCACTACCCAGCAGCATTTAAATTAAAAGGAAATACGGATGTTATAAACTCAAGCCAGTGTTGCTGCTTTTTCAGAAGCTGATTGTGTTGTTTGTCTCTTTCTAGTTCCATAGTGATCTGTTGACAGCTGTGAATGCCTGCTATGAAGGGGACACGGTCATAATCTGCCCTGGTCATTATATTGTAGATGGCATGTTCTGCATTGCTGACTCCATTGAACTGGAAGGTAGGAGGTTCTTTTAGTGCAGAAGAGCCTGAAACTAATATGCCTTGGTAGGTTTTACTGAAGTTAAGTGAACTGCTCAAAGGACTCGCGAACTGACTGCAGGGAGTGGGTTGGCTGGAGTGTGCCAGCCCTTTTGCCTGCTTTGCCATTCCTGTAGAGGTCCTGCTTCCAGGACTGGGAACCTTGCAACTTGCAAATGTTTGGACTGGTTTCAGCTGTTACCAGTGCCCGGGAAGGATGAGAGTATAATAGCTACAGCTGCAAATTAGCCTGGATGATACTACAGAAGAAATCTATTCCAAGTTTAGGATTTTTTTTCATGCCATGTGTTTAGATGAACTTATTCAATCACTTTATAATTATTTGGCTGGCAACAAACTGGCAGGAGCATACAGTGAAGCCTGGATTTAGTTTTCCAAGTACAAGGGTAGCTTCTATGCTTAAATTGCAGTGCAGTGACTATAAAAGCTGAAGGTAAACAATCCTCAGTTACTGAAATCTAAACGTTAAAGAACCCTCAGGGTGGGTGGGTGTGTGTACACGTGCGTGTGCGCATGGAGGACAACTTCACTGACTGGCTGATTTAAGAAGACTTGTCGCACTCTAGTCAAATTTTTGTGAGCCATTAAGGAAGCCCATTTTCCTTCCTCCCCATTGGGAGAGAGCACTGTAAAATGTACTCCTTTTCATGTAGTATAACATTGCTTATTGACAATGTTATATTAGCATTTGTTAGCATGCTAGTAAATATTTAATATCTTTATGATATGGCTTTTAATAATATTGGCAATATTATGTTATTAGCATGTGTTAGATTGCTAGTAAATATTTAATATCTTTATGATATGGCTTTGCCAGTTAGTGGTAATGGAGCCTTGTGGATTAAGTACTAGACTGCAATGTAGAAGTACTTGAATTCTATTCTTGGCTTTGCCCCCGACTCCTTGTATGTCCTGTGCCAAGCCATTAATTTTTTTACTTTGCTTTCCTCATCTGAAAAGTACAGCCTCAGTCTGTGAGAGGGGCATTGTGAGAGTCTGCAGTTAGTATGGCACTTGCAATGGGTATACCGAACAGAGTAAGAGACAAGCTAGGAACTTTGCTTATAGGAGTTTGTTACTGAACATGATCTGTGTGTATATATGTATTTACTTGAACAGAAGATGACCCTGATTAAGACTACTCCTCCAATAATTAGGTTCTATATATGAAACATTTATACATTTGTTATACTTTTCCAGGTATAGAATCTATTTATTGGAGGTTTACCTTGAATTTGTCCCTCCCCCACTGCTACAGTAGGAAAAATAAATCTGTGGGGGGGTCAGGTAGCCCTTTGCTCTCTGCTTCCCCACAACTTTTTCCCCTAGCAGCCCCTTCCCCTTTCCCCTCCCCCTCCCTTTACTGCCAGACCCTGCTCTCCCTGAGCACATGGAAGTTCAGAGCAGATTTGAAAACAGTAACCTTGAAATTTTAAACATTACTGTAGCAATTTACATATAGTGCCCATAGACTTAGTTCACAAAACTAATGTAGTTCACCCATAAAAAGGGTGAACCCATAAAAAGGACACCCATAAAAAGGACAAAGATTAGTATAGCAACAAAAAATTCACTTAGTTGACTCCATGTGTATGGGTGTATTTGAGCTGTCTGAATACATATTTTCCCCCCAGATTCATGATAACCTTTCTGTACAGTGCTAACGTCTTAAGTCCTATATGGGTAAAAATGAATAATGGAACATGATGGAGATAGCAGCTGGATTGGCAGCTATTAGTACCAGTTTAGTGACATTTTCAGAACTTAAAATGTCCACATTTGAATTTTTTACTACTAAACTCTCAATGAGAAAATTTTGTTAACTGGCCACAACTTTGTCTGGGATCTTCCGTTTTAGCTCTAGAAACTAACATGCTTGCTTTAGGTTCCACGGAGTAGTCTTCACTCCCTGAGGCCTTGTATTATAAGTGCCATAGAGCAAGCTGAGTAGCTTTAGTTGCTGTCTTCTCCCTAACCCTATTCTTAGGGATACTATTTTGGGGATGAGTGTAAAGCAGGCTGACTACAACTAGTGATAATCCCGAAGCTCTTACCTTTGGGTAGTAATTCTCTTTTCTGTTTCTCAAGTATTGAGTAGTTCAGCTGGAAAAATAACTCATTTGCTGTCTGAAGTTGTGCACTTTGAACCTACTGCCACTATTCTTCCCAGAAGCACCCTTACATGAGAGGAAGGGCAATTTCTGAATCTTTTACTGTCTCATTGAGGTGTTGAAACCTAATTTTATTTTGTATTTGGCTCTTCAAAACTTGCTGCTAAGTTTTCCAAATACTGCTTTTAATTTTTTTTCTGTACATCAAGGTATTTACATACTCAATACAACTGGTGTCCCACTCTGACACTTAACTGGAGCTTCTGTACAGTTGTTTTTTTGGGAAGTGATAGGATTGGAACAGTTTTAATAGTAGCCACATTATCACTTTCCTTATCTTAATTCTTGCCTGTGACAAGCAATAAATGCTTTACATGCTCATAATTTTTTCTGTAAGTATTTGAATGCTGATAGCTCTGGATGGCTTAGTAAATCAGTGGTGCCATATGCTTCAGAAAATTATTTTTAACATTAATTCATCTGGAACCCTCTGTTTGTCAAATGATGTTCAGGTTTTGACCCAAGTTTTATTTAAATACAGAAGTCAGTAGTGCAGTCATTGAAACTTATTCCCTCTACTTCAAGGGGAGTTATGTTTGGATGAAGCAGCCATTTAGAGCCTCAGCCTTCTCTGTATGCTGTAGGGCAGTGGTTTTCAACTTCTTTTTCATTTGTAGACCCCTAAAACGTTTCAACTGGTGGTGTGCACCCCTTTGGAAATTTTGAATAGAGGTGCAAATTGTAAGTATGGGTATTCACATACTTTTGATCATAAACATCTTTCGTGGAGCTCTTAGACATAGTCTGTGGACCTCCAGGCATTTGCCAACCACAGGTTGAAAACCACTGCTGTAAAGGTATCCATTATGTCACCTTAGAGTAAGTTGATATCAAAAGGAGGATTGTGGGTGGCCTAAGTGATTGAGGGGAGGGGGAATTTAGGATGATAGAACTCAGGTGGTAGGTCTCTAACTCCAATTTCACTGTTGTGGTAGGTATTGAGCTCTTGAGTTCAGCTGTGAACCACTGTAGCATGTTTACACAGGAATTTTATCCTAATCTAAACTCTTCTTTTAAGGTTATGGTCTGCCAGATGATATTGTCATAGAAAAGCAAGGGAAAGGAGACAGCTTTGTTGACTGTTCAGGGGCCAATGTAAGAATCTCTAATTTGAAGTTTGTTCAGCATGATGCAGTGGAGGGAGTCTTAAGTAAGTATTGAAATCCTTGTGTCTATTTTTTCTGCTTTGACTACTGATGGAATTATACCTTTGTTAATTTAATTAGGATCAAACATTTGAGCCTACTGGTTTCCCAGAAATTAATATTAAATGGCCCCTATTGGTATAAATATTATACCTTCATTTTTTCCCCCAGTTATGAATAATCTGGAAATTAATGTCACTTCTAGCCATTGTCCTGCCTGACAATGACTCCTATCTTCATTCTTAAGTTAGCAGGTAAAACTATTTTATCTGCTAAGTCTACCTTTCTGAGGGTATTTGTACACATGCATGCGCTGCAGGGTCAAGCACTTCAGCGCAGGCATTCACATAAACAGCAAAATGCACATCAGTGCTGAGAAAATGGCGGCAGTGCACTTTTGAATTAAAACGCATCAAAGGTGTTTTAGTTCAAAAGTGCGTTGCCATTTTCTGCACGCTGACGCGCGTTTCCCCATTTATACAAGTGCACGTGATGCAGCGCTGGGCATGTCGACTCACGTGCTCTGCAGACTCGATTAATTGAGTCTGCTCTTGCGCACTAGATTTTCAGCTTGTAGCATCAGACAAAGTATGTGTATAAATGCCCTGAGTTGTGTCATTCTCCAAACAGGAGCAAAAACATTTAACATCTCTGGCAAAGAACTGCCTTGGAAATAACTTACTATCTGAACCAGCCTCTCCTTTTCCCATAGACCAGACACTAGGGGTGTGCAAAGCTTTGGTTGCCAATTCAATTCGGAGAAGATTCAGTTCGATTTGGATTGAATTGGGAATCCAAAAAAACCCTCCAAATCAAATAGGAAAATGCTGCTGTTTTCATCCAAATCTGCCAAAAAATGATGAAGTTATAGGTATTTCAGTGATTCCCCATTATAGTCTATGGCCAAATCACAAAATCTCCCTGAATCAGTGCCAAATCTTCTAAAGCTGTTTCGGCTGAATCATTTCAGGATAGTGATCTGAATCTCTGAATTGAATCACTGTCCTCTGAATTGGCTGAATCCGAATTGAATACTTCCCTATTTGCGCAGGCCTACCAGACACCCTGTGTTTTCTGACAGACAAACTTTCAAACTGAAGCTCAGCTATAGGGTTGCTCCTCAGAACAATTCTCTAATTTTCTTCCCTACAGCATTATTTATATGACAGTCAATGAGGTCCATTCGTACTGTTCTAGTCGGCAGCCTGGTTCTATTGTTCTTCTTCAGCTTGTTGTCCTCTGTTGGGCAAGTTAATGCTGCTGTATTTGATGTCATGTCTCCCCCATTGTCTTTGTCCAGTAGGCAAATGAAAACCTGAGTGTTTTATATGCCTGAAGGCATGATTGCTTTTCCTAGGCTCAAGGCAATATTATTTATCTCAGTCTCAGCTCTTCATTAAAGGAACTCCAGTTGTAAAGAAAACTATGCCAAGCTAAATGCCATTATCTCCTTCAGATCTCTAAATCTGTTCATGGTACAGACAGCTTTTTTGATCCTCTAAGGAAAAATTAATCCTGGTGGCATTTGTTGGTAAGTCTGTTGACTATGGCCTTCTGTCTTTTGGAGAAGGTGCTAATTAGTACTTTGCCAAATAGAAATTTATTTTTGGAATGTCATGGTAAAATGTTTAGCACCTTGATACAAACATCCCAGATTTCACTGGCTTAGGTAAAACTTCACAAAGTTTGTGACCCCCATCTCAATAATATCTGAGTCAGACTACTAATATCAGTGTCATGTGTGCTATATTAACATTAAAGCTCACTTTCCCCCTCCTTTCTGCTGCTATGTGGTGTGGAGCTGGTCTCCATGTGTTGCAACGTAGAAGTCATGAGGTGGATTAGACTTAAATGGGGCTGCAAGGTTGGACACATGAATGAAAATCTGCATAGCACTGGTATCCTGACCCTAACACTTCACTCTAGTTAAGTACCTTTCCCCAATTAAAACAGATAGCTATAAAAGAATATTCAGTTGAATATCAGTCTTGGGAGGTTCACTTGTACACTGCCTTGATCCTCTCTGGTTTGGGCCTTGGATTAATGTGCTGATGTGTGGCAACATAGCTGCAGTACACTGAGAGTCCTTGGAATAGTATAGAGACTGTCTGTATGTTAACTTGTCTTGGTCTGGTACCCAGAAATGGATTAAAAAAAAAGCTGAATGCTGCTGGGTCTGCCTTCTGGGATTCACTGAAACCTTACTGCAATAAATTGAGTTGGGCTTGATGGACAGAAATTTCTCTTTTTTTCTTTTTTACTCATTTTATGCTCTTTTTTTTTTTTTTTAATGACTTCTAATGCTAACAATCTGTGTTTGAGTGCAGGTGTCCACCATGGGAAAACTACCCTGGAGAACACTGTATTACAGTGCGAGACTACAGGTGTTACAGTGCGAACATCAGCTGAGCTGTTAATGAAGAATTCTGATCTGTATGGTGCCAAGGTATGAATTAATTCTTAAATCTTCATGCAGCTGTAGCTTGTATCCTAAAATAAAATGAAGCCTTTTGCTGCTGAATAGGGAAATGTCCTCTTCCTTGATTGCAACTTCCTTAATCCTTTAAAAAATCTCTAATACATTTGGCTTAATTGTCTTGGTTTTCAGAAATTGGTCACAATATTCTTTAAATCTCATGACGTATGTACCTGTTGAGGGAGACTCAAATGAATGTTGGCTTGCATAGAACACTGTGAAAATGAAAAGCTAAAAAAAATCCATCTATGAATGAAATAACCTTTGATGCATTTCTGGAGCTGATCCATGTGGATATAGCTGTCTTCAAAATGAGCCTTGTTTTTTCTGTCCTCAAATATCTTTCTTCCTCATTAAGCTTCACTCCAGTTGAATTCCCGTTTTGACCAACTTGCCTGTTGATTCTTACAAGGAGATGGTCAGAAATCTAGCACTTGTTATAATGTGGCAAGTGAATTGGCATTGGGGTTGGGTTGTTAAATACAAATAGAAACTTATGTATGTATTGCTCAATTACTCCTCAGCAGGCTTTCTTAGAGTATGACAGTAGCAGTGTCTGTGGGCCTCTGCTTCTTGAGTTAGTTAGCTAAGTCTGTAGCTGGAGGTAGTAGCAGATTCCTGTGTTGTCTAACTGCTGGATTGGAGAGGGGATACACACTAGGATACACTGGGAAAAAGTCTGAAACGGAAACTTTTCAGGAATTAACTCTTTACTTCACTGTACAGGGTGCTGGTGTTGAGATATATCCAGGTAGCACATGTACCTTGATAGGCAATGGCATACACCACTGCAGGGAAGGAATCCTTATAAAGGTGAGTTCCAGGTAGATCTTGTTCAAGTATCTCGGTAAGATTCATACCAATAATTGTTTAGGTATCTTGTGAAGTTGCTGCTTTTAAATTTTTAGTACTGTTTGAAAGACAAGGAATGATAGTGGAGTCAGTGGATTTGGAATTTAGTCTGTTGTAGTAAAATGTCCCCTTTATTCAACAACTTTAGGAAAGGAAATGCTGTTAACTGTCCCTGAATTACACAAAGATTTAGATTTTCTGTATTAGATGTGCTCTCTTTGTAAAATAAACAAAGACAAGTTCAAATTGCTCGAATTCGCTAGCTATAACTTATTTTTATATTTGTCTCTCTGGTAGGACTTCTTAGATGACCATTATGACTTACCCAAGATAACTATGGTGAATAACGTGATCCATAACAATGAAGGGTATGGATTTGTTCTGGTAAAACCAACAATCCCTTCTGATGTGAAAGACAATCCTGCAGAAAAATTAGAAGGTATTTTTTTCTTGGGACCTTTATTTTTTTTAATAGAGGTCTGATATGGTGATTATTTCTAGTGCGTTTCTGTATATTCTTCATATTACTCAGTTCACCAGAAAGAAACTCTCTAAAAAGGCTGAAAATACTTTGGATGAGTCTAGGTTCTATTATAATTATGAGAATACTGGAATTTCCTAGATTACTGCAGAGAAACATTTCAGGAATATGTGCAGATTATGCAGGTGTGTAATAACTTTGGAATTCATTCTTTTGTCCTTGGGTATAAAAGCATTTTATAGAGTATCACCTGATGTTTGTGCAGTCTTAGTTGGGGCACTTCAAGCATGGTGATTTTGAGGAGATCCTGACTACTCTAACTTTTTAGAAAAAAACCCTGCAACAAAAGAGGATTTAAGATGGGTCTTATGGTTGTCACATTTGAATTCTGCCCTCCTCAAAATGTGCTCAGATCAGTGTGTTTTGAACCAGCTCTAAAATTGTGGAGTTGCTCTTCAGTGAAGAGAGAGGCTTTCCAGTTGATTCTTTCCTATCTAGCCAACCCATGTGCTTTGTCATACAAGTCCTGCTGGACTGAAGGGCCTACACGGGTCACACACAGACAACAGGGTGTGGAAACAGAAAGTGGGTGTGCTCCTCACACAGTCCTTTTTGGCAGAAATTAATCCTCTGCTCTCCTGTTCCACCATGTGGCCAGGTTGAGACTTGTGCCCATGTCAGTATTGTTCCCTGTAGAAAAAAAATGTAATCATTTCATATGTTAAAAATGATTGAAATATTTAAAGTCTACTTAGTTGTTTTATCTAAAATACATAGCAGTCTCTTGGTCACATATGAGTTTCAAGATTCAAGAAATGTTCCTCTCAAGCCTCACATGGCTGTATTTGGTATATATGGCTCATTATTAAACCTGTCACCTAGAAAGTTGGGGATTTTGCTTCCTTCAGATCATTAACATAACATTCACTGTCACTTTCCTTTTTCCAGAAGCAGTTTCCTTAAAATCCTACTCTTGTATATTTAACAATTTTGGAGCATCTGTCTGAGCAAAAGCATCCCAGCTGCAAGCTGGCTTCTTTAACTTGTTCTGTTCTTTGTTTCTATTGTACTTTTTGTCTATGCATTGGAGATTTAGGTTCTTGCAGACAAGAGCTGATACAGCTAACCTGATATACTTGAAATAATAGTAATACTGCAATATAAAACACATTTCCATAAAGACTGAAGAAAACTAAATTCCACAATATTAAAAATCTGACATTCTAAGTAGTTTAGCTCCTTTCTGGCATCTGCATAGTCAGTAATAGCCTTCTCATTGTTTTCTGACTTAGAAAATATACAAAATACCCAGTCAGATGGTGAAACGGACAACATCAGAAGCTTGGGACCTGAAAAGCTGTGCGAATGTGCATCCAATGAAATGGAGCTTTATGAGAGAACTGAGATTTCTGGACAAACCGAAGGCAATTATGAAATTGCGAACGAACTTGGTGCTACCTCTGCAAAGAAAAGCCAGATGCACAAGAAAAGGCTGAGTGAACTGGGAATCACAGAGGCTGATGACAACTTAATGTCTCAGGAAATGTTTGTTTCTATTGTGGGCAATCAGTTCAAACACAATGGGAAAGGAAGTTTTGGCACATTCCTTTTCTGACTCCCTCCCTTGGAATGCCATTGCAGTATCTGATTTGCACAAGCTATTATGTTCACTCTTGCTTTCACAGGTTTTAATTTGACTCATCTGCCTTCCATGATGTCTATTGAATGTGATGAATTCAGGAGTATTTATTTTTTTAAACAATGTTCATATTACACATCATGAAATGGCTATGTTGCCCAAACATGGGCAACACAGTGGATGAATAGAACTCCAGTCTGGAAGCCTAGTATGGAGAGGGCAAATTGAAAAGCTTCCCCTTTACTAGCAATGTACCCCATTTTTACCATAATATTTATTTAACTTTAAATGTAAAGCGCTTTTAAAAATGTAGGCACCAGAATTAGAGTGGACAGTCAGTGCAAAAGCTGAGTGTATAACTCCGTCCATGGTGTTTCTTTCACACAAATTCATTTGATTTTTTTTTTTCCATATAACACTGGCAGTGCTTCATTCTTGTAAATAAAAGCTTTTTTTTTTTTTTATAATTAGGAAACTATTTGCACACTTATTTAGTAGGAAACCTGTCCTTGTGATATACTGTTTACAAGATTGATTAGGAAACCTATTAAACATCTGGAAAGATGGTATTTTTCCATGCTAGATGTAAATTTTCACAGCAACTTTGTAGTGTCAACTGCTGATGGTGTCTGTAGAGCTTTTCTTAAGCCATAGTGTGCTCTAAATGAATTGCAGTGAGTTCCAAAAGACACGAATGCAAAGTACATGCTTGTATCTTTCTCTGCAATATTCTTGTTGTATCCTGAGATGGTTTTCACACACGCCATGTGTTGACAATAGACCAACTTCTGGTACATTATAGAAAACGTAGAATCTCTCTCCAAACCATAAAAATACTTATCAATATAACAAAGGCAAAGCACATCAGGTCTGATCTTGCAAGACTTGGAGTTTTCTTAATATTCCATAAGGTGAATAGATACAGGATCAGACCTGGGTTATATTGTTCTCATTTGAGGGGAAAATTGCATTGACTGCCCTCCAAGTGAGGATTTGGTCCCATAATTGTTAAAATGCCCTCCTGCTTACATTACTTAATTAGAATGATTCTTTATCCCCATTCTTTATGCGGTCTTTGCCCTTTGAGATACGTAGATTGCTTTGGCACTTCTATTTGAGAGTGGGTGTAAGAATGGTTGCTAGTCAGTGAGGGTTGGGATATTCCAGGAGGTGGAAAAATGCACACTTTGGTGGTGAAGGGAAGATTATATTCCAATGCTGTGCTCTAGAAAAAATTCTGAAATAAATTTTTGGTTGGCTTACATTATTGATAAGCTGTTATTTATAAATTCCTGTGAACTTGACTCTGTAGTACTTTTTACCCCAGCCTTGCTCAAATTGGGGTGGGAATCAAAAGCCCCTCAATGCATTTTGTGTGTGATACAACTCATTGTTGATGCCGAGGATAAACTGACACTTATGGATTTGTCTCAGGATTCTGTTTCACTTTCTGCAATTTTGACTGTTGGAACGCAGAGAACTTATTGTTGCTCCTAAATCTTAAAAGCCACTTTGTGCAGGCTTTGCCACTTCAGATGCTCAGATTAAATATTTATCTCCATTGATTGATACTGAGAATTGAATAGCAAGCAGATATCACTTCCACTGCAATTATCTTAATTAAGCACAGAACCATGTACTTCTGCTAACGAACAACCATACAGCAGTTTTGTCATGACCTAAGCTTTGTAAATGTGGCTTGAATATTTTAACACTAGGATTCTCAGTAGTCTTATCTTTAAACCAGGGGTGACCAAGATCTGGTCTGCAGGGCACACTATGGGTCTGGAAACTTGGTGGTGGGGGAACAATGGCAGCATTTGGTTGCCTCAGCTTCTAGAGCTGTGGCAACCAAGGCTGCTGCCTCTTACCAGCTGCCAGATTTCTGGACTCATGGGAAGCCCATGGTATTAGGTGGGTTGGGGCATCACTGCTGTAAACCATTCTTTATGTCAAAAAGGATTTTACAATTCATAAAATGTTATGCACACAGATGTGCTGTTATATCTGCATGTTATGATTTGCTTATTTGTGATTCTTATTTTAAAAAAGAGGCAAACTTGTAGTTGCCCATGGTTCTTTTTCTGCCCCTCTTTTTTCAAAACTATGACCATGACATCTTGTGCAATATAAATATCATAAAGCACTATTCTCTTTTTCCAAAGGAAAAGGAACCCGAATTTAAGGGCCTTATCAATAAATCACTTCCCTCTTGTATACAGGTTTCTTTTCAGTAAGCAGCGTGTACGTTGGTAGAAAGAGTGAGGAGAAATGGGTGGAGATGAGCATGAGGCATACAGATGGCAATATTCCTGCCATACACATGGAATTCCTGAGCCCGCAGTAGAATGACATCTGCATCTCAGTCTGGGGAAAAAAATTACATTAAAATAACTATGATCATCATGACACTTTAATTAGTTGTACAACTTGGTAGGTAGATAATCTTTTATTAGAACACAAAGAATGTGCTGGATTTGGGAACTTTTTAAAGTGAATCCAATCACAGCCTATAACAAATCATATTGATGCAAAATAGACCCCTGCCTTTCTTTTTAGGGTCAATATAAAACAGAGCAGGTGTAAGTGAAAGATTCTGTTAAAAATCCAGTGTACTTAATTAAAGGTCAGCTAATGGTATTTTATTTACATCTAACTTTTAGGCAATATTGGCTTATGACAATTTTTTTTCCTACCAAGTTTTCTTGGCATTGGGCCACTTCACTTTTTAACAATGTAAACAAAAGATCCTTCAGTTAATCTCTGTGTGTACTGGGCTTATTACCTTTTTAGGATACTGCCTCAGCTGTAACACAGGGAATTTGACTCTTGTCAAATAAACTGTTTTTGAAATACTCTTTTAATTTTTATAGACTTAATCATCTTATTGCTACATTGGCACAACTAAAATACATTTTAAATCTGCTTTTCATAGGTAGCCAACTGGCAAGAAAAAAAATATCCCTAGTTTTGTTTTTATGTCTTAATACAATTGCCAGTGAAACAAATCCTGTTTTGAGATGCAAAAAGTAAATTAGCATTTTTGCTTTTCATCACAGTAGGTGTATTAAATTTGCAGTGCACATTTCCCCTTAAACTTTCTAAACTCGTTAGAGGGGAAGAGCTAACAATGAATTGTTACTAGATCTCAGCATCTAGGATAATACACACTTCAAAAGACGCTTTCTACCTAAATCCAATTGTCACCTCTCCTTTTTGAATAATTTCTTTGTTTAAAATAGACACAGTAATTCAGTATTATGCAGAGATTCTCCCTTAATGCAAAGCACTCTGTCAACACCTGTAATTCTCCTAATAGATATAAAATGTACCTGTCTAAAACTGTGAATGAGTGTTTTGTAGTTGATGGGGGATGAGTCTGCTTCACCACACATTAAACCAAGAAAGAAAAGATGGTGCTCTAGTGAGTAATACAGCCTAAAAAGCTCTCTGGAGGGGAAGCTGATATGAATTGATAGAAGTGCGTGGGCCATATACTTAACAACGGAAATGTGAAGGGGAAGAGAGTCATTTGAGGAAGAGGCTAGGGACTAATGCTAGCCAAGGAATCTGCAGAACATGTTTATTAGTTGTAGTATTCAAAGCTACTAGCTGCCTTGTTGCTCAGAAAAATTAAAGAAGAAAACCCATTCTAAAGATTTCCTTCCTTAGTCTTTCCCATCCCTGGGCTTATAAATTACTTCTAGAATTATGGTTTCTAGAGGTAATGACATCCTTCCTATTGGTGGATGTTCTCATATAGGCAGCCAGTACCTGACCATTGAGTTTATCATGATAAACTCGTCATTTCCTTATGTTCCTTATTTGTCTGCCTGTTTCTGTCCCTTGGCTCTTGTCTTACTCTTACAGTGGAAGCTCTTCAGGGCACAGACTGTCTCTTTGCTCTTTGTAAGCCCCAAGCAAGTTAGGTGCAAATGCAATGCAAAAAATTATAATCCTCCCAGGTGTCTGGAATTAGCCTGCGTTGTTGACTTCTCGCTTCAACCATGTAACCCTCACCTCTACATGGTTCTTCTGTATTATATATGCAAAACCTATTAGGAATTGTAACATGGATTCAGAGTAGCACCCATCAGGATCTTGCTCATGTCTTCTGAAACCCTGACTAAACAGCCTGTGAGCTAAGGGTGTTGTTACATATTACAATTTGCACATGCTAAATTGGAATATTAGGTGGTATTAAAGTTAGTAGGAGGTATGAGCAGTCACATGTAGTATGAGGTGTAATGTTTACAGTAAGCTCTGATGATCTCTGCCCTACACAGCTCTTACTAGGAGGCCAGTGTCTGAGCAGTTGGTTGAGAGCAGCTGTCCCTGCTTCTCTCTGGCCACTGGCCAAGCTGGGCTCTCAATCAGAGGACCCCAGCTTGAAGCTATCCACCTTGCCCCTTCTCCCCCCAGTTTTATTATCTTCAGCTCCCTACCCCCAAGCCCAGTGTCTGGGTAGCTAATTGAGCCCCACAGACATGGGGAGTGCTTGGCAGAGCAGGTTAGGAAGGAGGAGTGCACAGGCTAGTGGTGCTGGCACTCCTGCAGCCCTGCCCACCTGTCTTGTTGGCCTGGCCCTGCAGAGGCTTCTCCTGGCATGTGCATTTGTTTGCTAAGGACCTTGCACCAGGTGCCCAGGCTGGAGGAGGGGAGTGGGTAATGGGGCTGGTACAACAGTGGAGGCTTTGGAGCCTGGAGGTTTCCCTGCCTGACTTAGGCAGCCCCAGGAGGCAGGTTGTGCTCATCCCCTTCCCCATTTCTCCACTAGGACCCAGACATGCGCCTCCTGATAGAGGGTACCAAGGTGATGCACAGCCCCACCTCTGGGACATTGCATACCCTGCCTTCCCTGTGCTGGTCCTTACTGCTCCTGCCTGGTGCTCTGGACATTCAATTCCAGCTGCCTGGGTCAGTGCATGTCCTGTGCTGCACCTCCATGGTGAGTGTGCTATCTGTTGTCCCAGCCTGCCACCCCACTGGGGCTTCAAAGCAGCCCAGGATGGTGTAAAAATCCCTCTGAGTCCAGCTGTCTTGAAGCAGCAGCAAAAGGGAGGGGTCATGCTCTGGGGTGGGTGGCGGTGTCAGTTTAGGGCCAGTATCATCCTGCTGGGCAGTAGAGTGCTTGAAGATTGTCTGTGGAACTGGGGAGGGAGGTTGGGGGAGCTGAGGTTGAACCTTGAGATACTGGAGGACTGGAAATTGCTCATGTTACCTCTGTGGGGTACTCAGATGACAACATAACACAGCTTGCTTAATGCAGTCTGGAGATGCTCCTTGTGCAATAAGGTGTAACTTTATGATGGTACAAGTGCAATTGGCATGTTTTCCTTTTTGAATGCTTGGAAGCTAATGTTTTAACTGCCTTTTACACATGCCAAGTGTAACATGTAAGAAGGCCCTAAGGCAGGTTGCTCACTGTGAACCATTTTATGTGTTGAACTGAATCTCATTGACTTTTAAAGCAATGGGTCTCCATAGGTGCAGGTGTGGCCATCATGTAGGTGGAATTGGGGCTTGCGGGATGATTTTCATTATGGTTATTTGACGTGAACGTTTGTCTGTTCATTGAACAGAGACTAACATCATGCAGGAGTTTTCATAAGGAATTAGGTTTGCTGTGCAAGAACGTAGCACATCCTCCTTTTCCCTGCTTATACCTGAACCATGGCCAATATTGCATGATGAATTGTCTTAATCTCTTTTTCCTGACAGCAGATGGATCTATATTCTTGTTTTCTGCAAGTCCTTTCATCCCAAAGGATTTCTTACCAAAACAGCCACTCATAATTAAGCGCTGATATTTACATGTCTTCATCTAGGTCAATAAAAGTGACATGTAAAAATCTTCTGTTTTGAACAACTCTAGCTGTGTGCCTAGGGCTTATGAAAAGCCTTTTGAGGCAAATCAATAGTGCTGGAGCTTCTGTTTTAAAACTCAGTAAATGATTAATAAGGCAAGTTAAGAGAAATCAATAACTTGGTATATATCACTTTGCAGGTTGGACAATATTTTTAAAAGAATTCACTTATCTTTTCATTATAACAAAACAGATGAGAAGTGCAGCCAAATTGATATAGGCTTTGTTATAACCTATAGTTCAACACCAACCTCCTTTTTTCATAAAACATTCATTAGCTACCTTAAAGGGCAAGGGAACAGCTGATACAGTGTAAATGACTGTATTATAACAGCAAAAATCTTATTATTTTAAGGGAATCGGTGTCAAGTTTTGGAGTTCTGCCAGTTTTCAGTAGCTGAGGATTAAGCATAAAATGTCTCTTAACTAACTCAGGACTTTCTCAGCTTCAAGTCATGTAATTGTTACAGGCCCCATTTCAGATCTATGAAATGGATGTAATGTCTATCTGAGACAGCACTATAATAAATGAGAGATGAAGGCTGTTGGCAAAGAAATTACAGCATGCTATGGCTACAGCATTGATCCAACACTGTCACAGCATACTATGGGACTTTTCTCTTAATTGTTACTTTTGTTTCCTTTTAACAGTTGCTACAGCTATTTTCACCTGTGGCTTTCAGACTATGATGGTAGCTTGTATTTATATTGTCTTTAATCCAAAGAACTCAATATACAGTTACAGATATCTCAGAGGTAACAAGTATTATCCCTATATCACAGAAAGGGAATTGATGCGTGGGAGCATTTATATGAGTTACATAAGCTCCCAGAACAAAACTTTGGTAGGGCCTGGGATAAAACCTGATTGGCTCCTGTTGTAACTAGGCCATATTTGCTCCCCTTGAGAAGATTGGATTGGATAGGGCAAGCCCCCCCCCACCCCGGTTTTGAAAACCATTCTTCATGATCTGGTACAGAAGTTCTATAGTCTAACTAACTGGTCTAACCTAAACTGATTAAGTCTGATATTACATCTGTCACGACCCAGTGATTTTGGTGCCTCGGCACTATGGAATTTCTTGGCCACATGAGAGCTCCTTTGCACGGCAGAGTGTTCTGCTGCAATTGAGAACCCGCGTGTAGGAGAGAGTTCCCGCCAATTTGCAGTTTCCTTTGCAGGATGCATTTCTTCCTTGCAGCACAGAAATGCACGGTGCAAAGAGTTCCCGCTATTTGAATGTAAATTTGTGCCCCGCTATTGGCCAGTGCTAAATTATTCACACGTGGCGGCTAGTAATTGGCTCGCTGGCCGTTTAAAATTCCGTGCGACTTCTGCCCAAGTCGAAGAGCTTTGAGCACGCTGCAGAGTGCCTCTGAAGTTATCTGACTTGCGGCTGCCGATCGATAGACTGATCACCTATCGATCTTTCTTCCCGTCGCCGAGCGCAACCCCAGACATACCCCTTTCCCCGCCGGCTTCGAATTGCGGACGGATTAACTGGCTTGGGCCTCGCCAGCTGGAACAACTCGCGTGGTTGTTCAGATGACCGGACCACCTGCGTCGTGATTGCAAGCGGCGTGAGTAAAGTTTTTTGCAACCAATAAGTTGTGTCTGCCTCTCCATTCACCAGCCCGCCCTAACGTACGACCAATTTCTAACGCAACTCGAGTCGGTTCTGG